GTCTCAGAGTTAAAGAGACTAACCTGCCAGTCCACAGACTGTCTCAGAGTTAAAGAGACTAACCTGCCAGTCCACAGACTGTCTCAGAGTTAGAGACTAACCTGCCAGTCCACAGACTGTCTCAGAGTTAGAGACTAACCTGCCAGTCCACAGACTGTCTCAGAGTTAGAGACTAACCTGCCAGTCTACAGACTGTCTTATAGTTAGAGAGACTAACCTGCCAGTCTACAGACTGTCTCAGAGTTAGAGAGACTAACCTGCCAGTCTACAGACTGTCTCAGAGTTAAAGAGACTAACCTGCCAGTCTACAGACTGTCTCAGAGTCAGGGTGGTGGATCCTGCCATGGCGGTAGCAGCCAGCTTGGTGTGGTAAACGTTGTGAGGCTGTCCGTACAGCTCTAGAGAACCGAACACACCTGGAGGAGCACAGAGTCACCTGTTAGTGATGGCTGACCATCACCAGGTGGCCATGAAACAGGAGTTCTTACCAAGGACTTTGGAGCCCTGGTTGGGTCCGTTTGGCAGCAGCCACTCAGGGGTCTTGTGGTTCCCCCTCAGTCTGATGGTCAGCTGACCTCTGAAGGGCTCGTCACTCCAGCCTGCGATCAGACGGCCTCCCTGAAACAAAAAATATATTATTCAAGACTTTTTGGAACATGGAAAGAAAAAAAATCAAAAAAAGCTTCAGAACTGGACCAGATCAGACCGGACCGGACTGCAGTGCTGACCTGGATGGAGATGTAAACAGCATCCATCACCACCGAGCGGTACCCCAGGGTGGACGAGGCGTTCAGGGTGTCGGGAATCTCCAGAACACCGACCACTGTCAGCTTGTTGAGGGTGGGAGTGTCGCGGTCCAGAACCACCCACTTCCCTGTCGGATCAGAACAGTTGGAGCTGTGATGCAGGAAATCAGATCATTCATAAAGCTTTTGAACCGTGTGTCACCTGAAGGGATGATCACGTCAGCGCCGTCTGCAGGAACGCTGAAGTTGTTCTCAGCTGAGCTCCTCCAGAAGGAAGCATCGGACCACAGGCTGCAGAGAAACAAACAGGTTAGTCGCAGACGCCGCTGTCAGGGGCTGAGCGCAGGAGTGGGAGGAGTCTGAACCCACAGGAAGTTGTTGGGTCGACGGCTCGGGACCGGAGCCAGAGTGGCAGGGGGAGGAGCGATGCACTTGGGGAAGAAGCAGCGGTAGACAGCGAAGTTGGTGACGACGTCGAGCATGGAGCGGTCCACGCTGTTCCTGCGCTGGCGCTGGCTCGTCTTCCCTGAAACTACAGGAACAGGAAGTCACGCCCAGAACCAGAGCGGAGCAATGAGACTGTAGCGCGCCTCACTGAGGTAGAASAGATCGTTGGTGGTGCTGTTGAAGAACCAGTCTCCGTTCAGGTTCCTGCTGGAGCTGAGCGGCGCTGATGATCCGTTCCTGTTGTCCACGATGCGGACGCTGTCCAGACTCTGGGTGAAGTTATGGTTGATGATGACGAACTGGTCCGACTGCAGGATGACAGGAAACAGCTGCTGAACATCCCTGAACCTCTCTATTTATGGTGTCAGGTCTTTTACCTTAAAGCCATAAAATTTAGCGTCGTAGGTGATGTTGGTAATCTGATCTGCGTTGTTGAAGTACCAGTTGTACATGTTTCCTGTGGGGAGCAGAGCCATCCAGCCCATCTTATGAGTCAACCTCTTCTTCAGGTAGGGGACCACGCTGCTGCCTGAGGTTAAAACACTTTATAGCTTTAGATTTTAGGTTCATAACTAATTAATAAATCAAACACGCTCACAGAAGAGTGAAACCAGAAGAAACAGAAGCAGGAGGCAGGAAGAGGTAAAACATGGCGTTCAGGGAGGATTCTACCATGGGAGTTGGTTAAGATGACATCTTTGGCGTTCAGCGAGCTCGGCGTGGGATTGTTGAACGCCAGACGATGGAAGCCGACGGTGTGGTCGCACACGGCGCCAGGGAAGCCCACGCTCCACTCAGGACTCTGGGAGCAGTGTGCAGGGTCCAGTAGTTTGCTCATGGGCACAACTTTGTGGCTGATGTTTCCTGAAAAGACGAGAACCGAGGAGGTTATGAGTTGCAGGTTCTGAGGAGGCCTGGATCAGGACTGAGGTTCTACAGAGCCCGTACCTGTGAGGGAGCCGTCCGAGTCCACTAGCTGCACCTCGTGCTCCCACCTGAACCCAGCCTTGTTGGGGGAGTTCAGGTACCGGATGCCGCTGAAGCGGACCGCCCAGCCGCCGCAGCGGTCCGTACACAACCCGTCGATGGAGGTCACGCCAATGGCGGAGCAGTTGTTGCGGTTGAAGTTGATGAAGGTGGTGTTGAGGACGCTCATGCCATCATCGAACGGCGCGATGACCCCCCGGTACGTGCAGTAGTCTCTGCCCAGCCCCAGCTCGTCCACGTGACTCACGATGATGCTGTTGGACACGGCGGCGCCTCCGCTCTCCCCGAAGCCACTCACGGCCCACTGCAGGATGCGTTTGGCTTCGATGCCGGCTTTCTCGTTGTTGACCATGAGGAAGTTGCTGAACTGCACGGCGCCGGCGTTCACCCACTCAGCACCTTTCTCACAGTTCCAGGTGGTCAGGGACCGGAAGACGGCGGGCTGCGGGACGCTGGAGCTGCAGCCGCCGGCCTTCACGGGAAAATATTCCTGGAAGATCCAGAGGCCGAACCAGCCCTGAGAGTGCACCGTGTTGTTGTAGAACTCCCCGAGGGGAACCCTCTTCTGGCAGATGTTGGGGTTGTAGGACGGGCCGTCTGGGTTGTCATGCATGCGGTACCAGAAACCGAAGTGCGTGCCCCCGGCTGCGGCGTTGTGGCGGATGATGTTGTTGGGATTGGTGACCCAGTACCCGGCAGGAGTGACATCGTCGTTCAGGAGGCTGGTGCTCTGTTGGACAAACACGGCCAGGTTGTACTGCAGGATGTTCTGCGTCTCGATGCCGTCCTCGATGAAGAAAGCCCCGCCCATGATGTCGTAGATGACGTTGTGCTCCACCAGCAGCCGGTGCGTGTTGTGGATGGTGACGGCTCTGTTGTAGGTCTGATGGATGGCGCAGCCTCGGACGTACGACTTGTAGTTGATGTCTCCCATCAGGTGCCAGTGGATGGGGTACCGACCCAGCCTGAAGGCCTGACCTGCGTGGAAGACCTGTCCCACGAGTTCAGCACCAGCTAACACGCATCAACACGTTTACAACTCATCTTAGAAATGACTTCACCTCAACGTACTCCAGCCGGCCCACAGCCAGGTTTTCTCCTGGTCTGGGTGCGTGGAACATGATGCAGCCGCCAAACTGGTCACTGCCCACCTCCTCCCCGAACCGGCCTTGGAAACACGTCTGAGTGGCGAACTCCCCTGCAGAAACCAGACGACTGTGAGGCTTTGATTTCTCATAAAGTATGGGTCACGGAGCAGATCCARTACCTGTGTTGAAGCCGTCAGGGCAGGCCTGGATCGTGTCGCTCCACTCCTGCTGCTGGGAGCCTCGCACCACGATGTTCCTGGTGAGAAGCCCCACCTCAGCTCGGGCCTGGAACAGCGTGCCGTCAGGCAGCGTGACGGACACCCCGAGGTGGGTGTAGGCCAGCGCCTCGGTCAGGGTGAGGGTCTTTCCATCGGGCGACACGGCGGCGATCTTCCTCAACTCGTTTTCTTTTTGACTGTGTCTGCAGGACAAAGGAACAGTTTGAGCTGAGCGAGACCTTCAGAGGGGAGAAGATCCTTCAGACGAGCTCAAAGTTCAGGTTTAACAGCTTCTGTTGGGTTCGATTGATCTGAACTCTGTTTTATTGAACAGACCTGTGGCCGGTGGAGGCAACAACGATCTCATCTCCAGGTCTCCAGGTTACGGCCTTCATCAGGCTCAGAGTCAGAGAGCCGTTGGGGGCCGTCTCAGCCAGGTGGGTCCAGGGGACCGGGACGGGAAGACCTGAGGAACAGGTTATAAACAATGAAGGGGAAAAGGTCAGGTGTTCCTACAGATGACTTGTCCTGGAGGAAAAACAACTTGAGTTACTGAAACAGAACAACGTGTCATCTGTATCAGCTGTCTGAGGCCTGATTTAAGACCAGAACCAACAAGAAATGTGCCGACAGTCTCAAATCTGGGAGTTATCAGGATTTGCTCTTGAAATTTTGTTTAAATTAAATTTTCTTAAATCTGGACTAAAAAGGAAGCAGAGAAACTTTGTCTTTATGTCAGAAAATCATTATAAAAGTTGTTTTGGTTTGTTTGTTCGCACCATGAAGGTCCAAGACGCCCTCTCTGACAGCCAGCGTCTTGGCTCCATAAACAGGAAGTTCAGGTGAGCGCAGGTGTCCGTGCAGCGTGATGATGGCTTTGTGCTGGAACGGCGCCCCCTCCTGGCCGATCTGCAGCCGCCCTCCATCTGTGATCAGGATGTTTTCCGCCTGCAGCTCCAGGTCTGCTTCATCGAACAGCAGCGTGCCGCCTGCAGAGACAAGCAGCAGCTCAGAGACACGTGAACACCTGTGCACCTGTGGGAGCGTCAACCCACCCTGGATGAGCAGCATCTTCAGGACGGGGGTGCTAGCGTCCAGCAGGATGGTCTGGCCTTTAGTGATKACGGCGAAAGAGCCCTGCTCGGGTGGATCCAGGCCCCCCCAGGTGAACCTGGAGGACCACAGGTCGATGTAGAAGAAGGTGGCGTTCTCCTGCAGACAGGAAGCAGAGCTAACATTGACTCATCTGATCAGAGGGAACAGGAAGCTCTGAGCGGGGGTCTCAGTCACCATCATGGCCTCGCCCCGGTCTCCGATGCTGACTCTGACCGCGGCCTCCTGAGACTGAGGCTGAGCGTTGGTCACACACACGATGTGAGTGGCGTTGGAGGACTCAAGGTCGCACACAGAACCTGCGATCGTCACGCTGACCTCAGTCATGTTGGAGCTGAGAGGTGAAATAATGAAAGTTACATTTTAGAGTTTTAGTTTCAGTTCCTGTGTTTAATCTGATCAGACTTCCTGTCTGACAGGAGAAGAGTTCTCAGTGAGCCGTGGAGTGGGCGTGTCTTTGTGCCCACACCTGAAGCCGGAGCCTGTGACGGTGAGCCGGGTGCCTCCGGCCGTGCCTCCTCGCCGTGGAGACACCTGGGTGATGACCGGAGTCAGCYGAGACCTGTAGGCGAAGCCGTCGGAGACGTTGACGGCGCCCAGCGGGTTGACGACAGAAACCACGCAGCTGAGCTCCGAGCGGGAGGCTGAGGAGAGGAAACATCAGAAACCAGACTCCTCTCCAGGAGGAACTTTAATAACGAGCTTCCTGTTTGTCTGAACTCACCGTTGTTGGGAGGAGACCGGCAGAACAGACGGGAGGACGAGGACATGTCTCTGTGGACAGGACACTGCTGTCCACAGATCCGCACTGTGGAGTTAACCGGATCAAAACCAGAACCCAGGATGGTCAGCAAAGCTCCGCCTCCAAAGCTGCCTGAACCCAGATTAGAAACATGAAGTTTTATTTAATGTTTTTTTAAGTTTTGCAGCTGAATTGGGTGAAGCTCTGTTACCCTGGTTTGGCTGAATGCTGCTGAGCGTCAGCTCGTAGGTGAACGCTGCGCTGGACTGGGCGTGGCCTTTCACCTGATGATGTAACGACACAGGATAGGAGCCTCCGGGGTTGTTTCCTGCCGTGCACTGGAGCTGTGTGTCGGAGACAGCCGACACGTTGCAGGGAACCTGGTTGATGGTGACGGAGACGAGCTGAGGGTCCGAGCCGAACCCTGACCCAGTCAGTGTGAGGACAGAAGCGGCGGTACCTGTGGGAGGACAGGTGGATTCATGACGGCTCAGAGGAACCTGAGAGCTGAAGGATGTCAGTGAGGTGGTTACCGGAGGCGGGGCTAACGGAGGTGATCACAGGGGTCAGGGCTGCAGAGTAGTTGAAGCTGAGAGCTGGATACGTCACGGCCAGCACCTGGATGTTGACGCTCACCTGTCCTGCGCTGTGAGGCGAGGTCAGGCAGCGGAGCACACCTGGACTCACCTCCAGGATGGAGCAGGGTTTACCTCCGACCGTCACGCTCGTGTTTCCAGGAGCGAAGCCGTTTCCTGTGAAGACGAGCGGCGTTCCTCCTGCCAGGCTTCCTGCTGCGGGGTTCAGGATGGCCTGGGCTCGGCTGCTCAGAATCACGTTACCTGAAGCCAGACCTTTGCTCCTGACGATCACCTTCACCTGGTGGTTCCCTGCTGGCAGAGCGCCCACTCTCACTGTGAYGTTAGCGTCGCTCACATGCGTCACCTCTGCCTCTGTGGAGCTGATGAAAACCGCCACGTCGTCCAGGCGGCTGCCGAAGCCCGAGCCTGAGACGGTTACGTCCGTCTGACCGTTGATGCTGTCAGGTGAGATGCTGCTGATGGTGGGCGTGGCCGAAKAGGAGTACTGGAAGGAGCAGGCGGAGCTGCAGGAGCTCTGGATGAGGCCCAGCTGAAAGATGACATCATCAGAGCGCTGCGGAGACGCAGCAGTGTCGCACACGATGTGGGTGTAGTTCACAGACAGGAAGCTGCAGGGCATGCCAGCTGCTGTGACTCCGCCCTCAGAGAACCCAGACCCTTGGACCAGGAGCCGGGTCAGACCATTGGGACTCCCCACAGGAGGAGAGACTGAGTCCACCACCGGCAGGACCACGAAGCGACGGTCCAGCTCGTTCAAAATGACCACGATGGCGTCGCCCAGGTTGTTGACCCTGATGGCCACGGGGAGGGCCATGCCCACTGGGAGCATGGAGTCAGAGCTGAGCTGGCAGGTGAGCTCTGATTGGCTGCTGTTGATCACCTGACATGGTTCACCTCCAACTGTCACCTGCAGGAGAGGACGTTAGAAACACGGACTGAAGCTCATTCAGCTGCAGGTGAGTCAAAGTCTGCTCACCTGGTTAGCACAGGTGACCTCACTGAATCCTCGGCCCTGGATCTGGATCACCTGGTGGTATGAGCCCTGGTTGGGGGAGATGGAGTAGACTGTGGGGGTGGAGCAGGTGGAGAAGCTGAAGGAAAGATCACCTGAAGTCTGGTTGTTCTGCTGACACTCAGGTGAGGCCACGCAGTCTGCTGCTGCTCTGGAGACTCGACGTGACCCTGCAGGTGAAAGACTCGTTATGAGCTGCAGGTGAAAGACTCGTTATGAGCTGTGACCCTGGTGCAGGTAAGACTTGTTCGACTGCTGCAGTCTATTAACATCTGAACATTTACCTCCAGGTACAGGTCTGGCCTCAACTCCTCCCACAGTGACAGAGACTCCGCCCAGCCTCTCCTCYCGACTCCTCACTTTAACGACTCCCTGCAGTGAGATGGAGCTGGTCTGGTCCACGAAGCCGCTGCTGTAGTAGAACACGCCGGGCACGGTGAACCGGTAGCTGAAAAACCCTGAAGAGGACCAAGAACTGATGGTTTTAAAGGTTCAGAACTGAATCAGAGAATCAGTTTGAGCTTCTTCCAGGAAGTGTGGGTAAACAGTCTGAAACTGGGTCTGCAGACCCTCTGGAGAACCGCTGGTCTGCAGACCCTCTGGAGAACCGCTGGTCTNGGTCTGCAGACCCTCTGGAGAACCGCTGGTCTGCAGACCCTCTGGAGAACCGCTGGTCTTTAACAGTCTGTAACAATAATCTGTGTTTTCTACCTTTGTCTGTTTTGGTCTCTCCACTGTTCAAGGGTCCCCCATCATAAGTGGTCCCACTGGGGCTGGAGACACTGAAGACCCCGTACTTGACCTTCTGGAAGGCGGGCGCCTCCCACTGCCACCCCACCGTGTCTCCGACGAGGACCGTGAGCGAGGACGGACTCCAGGCGTATCCCTGTCCGTAAGCTGGAACAGAATCCCACACAGATCCATGTCAGCCCGGGGGTCTCACACACACACACACACTGTACAGGTGGTCTTTCAGAAGCAGCTCAGGTAGGATGACATGTCAGCTGCAGGTGGAGCTGCTTCACAGAGGAGGGCAGAGACGTACCGAGGTGCGAGCCCTGGTTGGAGACCACGTAGCTCCTCTCCTCTGACCGGAGGACACACTGCAGCTCGTCCTCCGAGGCCGTCACCACGTCACAAACACAACTTCCTGCAGCACAACAAGCCAGGACAAAGCATGTGTGTCAGGTGTGCACGGTCCCAGCAGGAGGTAGAGACCCCCGGAGCATCGGCTGCAGCTCACCAACGATCACGCTGTTGTCAGACGTGTTGCTGCTGAAGCCCGACCCAGAAACCGTCAGCCTGGTTCCTCCCAACAAGGACCCGGTGAGCGGAGAGATCCTGGACACCTCCAGGATGTATTCAACGCTGGCATTGAGCCCACTGCTGTAACACACAGTTTTTGTTCTGGAAGCTCCAACCGCTGCTGGAGGATATTTAAACTTTGATAAAGTTTCTGTACCTGACCAGGGGGAACCCTCTGTTCCCCACCTGCACGTGCACCTTGTGCACGCCGGGCGGCAGCACTGGAAGCAGACAGGTGATGTGTGTGTCGGTCCACTGCACGCTGACACACTCCTGCAGCCCTACCAGCACCGCGCTGTCGTTGACTTCCTGTCCCAGATTTGAACCCTGGATGGTGAGGAGCTGGTGTCCTGAAGAAAAGACAAGACAACCTGTTCACCACAGCTGCCTGGGACTCCTGAACGCATCGACAACCTTCACAAAGAGCAGGAACTAGATGTTCCTGGTGACCACAGCTCACTGTACAGAGACCAGTTTATTAGAAACATTCACAAACACTGACCACCCTGCACACAGGACTTACCCAGCACTGTGGTGGTCCGGGGACTCAGGCCTGACAGCTGAGGCGTCAGGTAATCATCATAGGTGAAGGTGGCGTTGGCCGTCTGACTCATGTTTCCCACAGTTACCATGACGACACTGGGTCCTGCAGCTCCCTGGATTGATAGAACAAAGACAGCTTCACTTGATGGTCTGAGTTCTGGTGTGACCCAGGTAAATATTCTGAACCTACAGCAGGTGTTCTACACGTCAGCTCAGCCTCAGCTGCTTGGATCATCACACACTCCTCTCCCCCCACAGACACCGAGGCCTCCTGATGGAGGCCAGAGCCTCGCACCGTCAGCACCGTGCCACCTGAGGAGACACAGCGGGGGGGAGGAGTTAGAGGGCAGGAGGTAGGGATCAGGAGGTAGGTGGTAGAGGGCAGGAGGTAGGTGGTAGAGGGCAGGAGGTAGGGATCAGGAGGTAGGTGGTAGAGGGCAGGAGGTAGGGATCAGGAGGTAGGKGKYAGAGGGCAGGAGGTAGGGATCAGGAGGTAGGTGGTAGAGGGCAGGAGGTAGGGATCAGGAGGTAGGTGGTAGAGGGCAGGAGGTAGAGGGTAGGAGGCAGGTGTGAGGGTCACTGTCTCACCTGCGAGGCTCCCGGACGGTGGGGAGAAAGAAGACACGATGAGCTGATAGGTGAAGAGGAGGACGCTGCCATTGGCGTAACGTGAATCACCCAGAGAGGGGAAGTTGACCGACACCAGGTAGGTGCCAGCACTGGCTCCGCCCACTCTGCACACCTGTGTAGTAGCTAACATTAACAAAGGAAAAAAAAGGGTTAATTTACTAAAAGCAGCYCATCATAAACAGAGACTGAAATAAAAACACCTGTACAGGTGATTCTCTCATTAAATCCTCTTAATTAAATAAATGAACATTAACAGGTAAATGTGACTGAGGAGATAAATGTTTTAACAATGACTTAACTACTTGTAATGAATTAATTTTAGCCCCGCCCAGTCAGAAAAGCTGACAGGTTACAGTGAGTATCAGAGAGGAAATGTTCTTTATCTCAGGTGAACCTGTTGACTCACCTGTGACCTGTTCCACCAAACACTTGGAGTTTCCCACCATGATGGAGGCAGTCTCACTGATGAATCCAGACCCGGTGATGCTCAGCAGAGTCCCCAGACCACCTGAAACCAGCAGAACCTTACTGCAGCTACTTTAATCAGCAGATAGTTTCTTGTTGAGCCCAGCTATGAATCATGGGTAAAATCAGGTAAGAGGACAGGATGAAGCCCACCTGCTGATGGACTGAGTCCAGTCAGGACTGGAGTTTTCTCCTCGGACCACTGGAAGCTGCAGTCACCAGAACAGTAGGAGGGAATCCCGTTGATGTAGACCTCCACCTGCGAACATGTTTGAGCCAATCAGCTGGGGTTAAATGGAGGACAGGGTCAGGACCTGCCTGGACCAGGACAGTACCTGAGGTCTGCTCTCCCACACTCTGAAGAAGTCTCCTCTCAGGCCTCGGCGCAGCAGGCCCCCCCTCACCGCCTCCACGGCAGAAACCACGGCGCCGTCACCGACGACCGCCGAGTCGTTGATCTGCAGAAGAAAACAATCAGGACTGGAGCGACGGCTGAAAACACAGAGCTGCAGCAGCTGCAGACACACCTGCATCAGGGGCTGGGCTCCAGGTCTGGTGAGCCACTGGACGCTCCAGGTGGGGCTTCTGCAGCCCCCCTGCTTCACAACCTTCACCTGACCCATCTCTGAGATCCCCTCCAGAGCCAGCCTCAGGTCGTCCTCACTGATGTCCACAGACAGACCTGAGGGAGGAGCCAACACGGCAGAGTCAGGACAGGTGTTTGAAGCTTTCAGGTGAACGTCTGTCGTCAGTTAAAGGGTTAAAACTGTATCAGTTCCTGTCATCAGTGGAGAAGTTCTTTGTTTTACTACAATAAGTTCCAACAGGAGGAGTCAGAACGTCTGGAGCTGGTCCAAACAGCTCGTTTCCTCCAGACAGACGTCTGCTGCAGAGTGGGCGGAGCTCCACAGATCTAWAATTACAGTTAGGATCAACCTGCAGAGTGGGCGGAGCTCCACAGATCTATAATTACAGTTASGATCAACCTGCAGAGTGGGCGGAGCTCCACAGATCTATAATTACAGTTASGATCAACCTGCAGAGTGGGCGGAGCTCCACAGATCTATAATTACAGTTAGGATCCTCTTGTCTGACGCTGACTCACCTTCAGCTCGGCCGCCGTAGATCTCCACGTCGAAGCTGCCGTTCAGAGGGGGCGTGGCTCTGTGGGGGCGAGCGACTGTGACGCTGGCTCCGCCTCCTGTGAACCGAGCCCAGTCTTCGCTGCCGTTGGACATCTTTCAACACAGCAGAGAAAAACGGTCATTTCTTACAGATGTTTTTTCTAAAACAGAACCAGTGCAGCTTGATTTAAAGCTGAACAACCTGCAGGAAAGCGATGTCCATCAGCGGGAAACCAAACGCACAGTCCTGCGGCGTGGCGTGGATTTGGTATTGGAGCTGTGAAGCAGCTGATTGGTGTTTGGTGACGGAGAACTCCTGGATGAACTTTGCTGAGCTCTCAAACGGAGGCGGCCTCCTCTCGTTGAGAACACCTGAACCAGAGAAAAGAGATGTTGGTTTCTGTTCCAGGAAGAAACCAACAGGTTGTTCTGTTTCTGTCCTATCAACACGTTGACTCTGGTTGTACCGTTCTCGTCGCTCGTCGTGGCCGTCTTTCCGATGTAAACGGCATCGATGTAGAAATCCTCTCCGGAGGCGTCTCTGTAGAGGTACAGCTCCTGCAGGGTATATTTGCTGCCGATGTATGCGGTCTGCAGAGCGCTCTGAAGGTCCATGCACTTATAGCTCCACCTGAGGAGACACGCTTCCTGTCACACACCTGGCAGAGACACTGATATAAAACCAGGTCCTGAGCTTTACTGACCGGGAGTCCTTGTTGAATAAAGTGTTGATGTGAGCTGTGACCGTCAGCGTCTGACCGTTCAAGTTGCTGTATGTAAACTTTACCCCAACCTCATCCTTCAGCACCCCTCTGTACGCAAAGCAGAGCTGAAAACACAACATTTAGATCAGAACTAGTGTGACTGCCTACTGCTGAAACTTTCCCCACACCGATGGTGAAACTTTCCCCACACCGATGGTGAAACTTTCCCCACACCGATGGTGAAACTTTCCCCACACCGATGGTGAAACTTTCCCCACACCGATGGTGAAACTTTCCCACACCGATGGTGAAACTTTCCCACACCGATGGTGAAACTGTTGCGTGTTAACTCCAGGTCTGAAAAGTTGAGACCTGGAACAATATTCTGCTTCATTTCTAAAACTGATTATAAAAACCGAAGAGTTTTACTGTGGGGTGCTGGCTGAGGGACACCGGTCCGTACTGGACTCCAGACACTTTGCTGAAGGTTTGTAGGAACAGAGCCTGAGGGTTCTTCAGGGACCACACCCCACAGAAACCAGCGTGGACCTGAGGCGTCCCGCTCTGAGCTGAGGTGACCTGCAGAGACCAGATCTGGATCAGAAGGTTCCTCCACCACAGTCTGGACCTGCAGGTCTGTCAGGGTTACCTCTGGGTGCTCGAAGTCATTGAAGTACTTCACGTTGGTTCCTTCTGTGGCCAGAACCTCAGCAGGACATTCAGCTGTCATCAAGTCCTCCAGAGCCGACTGGACCTGTTGGGTGGCATGAGCTAACCGTTAGCATCAAGCTAACTTTAACACAAGAACAAATTTAAAAGATCTGAGGACCTGGGACTCTGATGCATTGTAGGCGATGGGTTTCGTGGGGATGCCCCCCCAGATCAGAGTGAAGGTCTTCATGTTGCTTTGACCCTTGGTAACCTCAGCAACCGTGATGTTGGTGTCCGAGCCAAAAACCTTGTAGTCAAACAGTGTGAAGTCCCCTGATGAGCAGAGGACAAACTGAATCAGATCCTGTTAGTAAAATATTCTGCAGCAGCTGAAGGTTTGTTGATGGGAGCAGCTGACCCTGACCATCGTCACGTTACCTGCCTGTCCCCTCACCTCTGTCAGAGTTGAAGGTAACCATGTAGTGAGACCCCTGACCGTCCTCCTGTTTGCTGACCTGGACCGAGTCGGGTTTGATGGTCCACAGACTGTTCAGGGCTGCTTTCACCTCCTCTGCTGAGGCGCTCAGAGGGAGGGGTCCTGCAGGAGACGACACAACGTTTACAACGTGCTCCTGATGAGAACCAGACCTGTCCGACAGCAGCTCACCTGTCTCTGCGGCTCCGTAGCTCAGGCTGAAGGAGGTGTGTCCACACAGGTAAGAGGCACAGCTGCTGCTGACGCTCACCTGCTGCACCTCTTTGACTGCTGGGAGGCTGGACGGCCACAGGTCAAAGGTCAGCACCTGAGGAGGAACGAGATGCAAGAAAACAGGAGGAAGAAAAGAACACAACAGCCGAAGGATTTTTATTATTTAGCTGATTCAGAAACGTTTTTACAGAACGGCCTCCTTTAACTTGTTAGCTTAGCAGTAAACTGTTAGCTTAGCAGTTAACTAGTCATCTAAGACAGCAAACTGGAGTCCCAGGTCCCAAAGGGGTCCRTGAGAGGCATCTTGGGGGTCCTCAAAAAATGTTCACTGCTACGCTAACAGTTCACTGCTACGCTAACAGTTCACTGCTACGCTAACAGTTCACTGCTNGTTCACTGCTACGCTAACAGTTCACTGCTACGCTAACAGTTCACTGCTACGCTAACAGTTCACTGCTGTACTAGCAGTAAACTAGACATCTAAGCTGAGTTAGTGTGTTCAAAGTACCACAGTTAGCATGTTTAGCTAACTAGCATTCCCTAATGTGATTAACCTGACTGGACAAAGAACAGTAAAGTCTCTACCTGCTCTTCATCAAACACTTCATATTTAGCATTAATGTTCTGAACTTCATYGACGGCGTCGTCTGTCTGCTCTTCTGTGAAGGAGCTCTGTTCTTGGAACAGAGCCAGGTTGAAGCTGGCAGCGCCGTAATATTCCTGCTGCAGGATTTCCATGTAGTATCTGGAGAGGAGAACAAAGCACTAAACATTTGTCCGGGTCTGTAAAAACGAAGTGATGTGATGCTAGCGTGCACGTACGGTTTTCCTTTCTCCAGAGAAAGGACTTTAGATTTTTGTGACGGCAGCTGGAGGTAGTCTCTAACATAATACTGTTGATACGCAACTTTCACCTGAAAGCAGACAGAAAGATGAAGTTCACAGCAACAACTGATGAACTAACAGCTGCAGCAAACAAAGCCTTCACACCTTGTCTTCAGGGCGGCTGGAGTTGCTCAGGTAGAGCTCACACCTGTCGTCACAGTGCAGGTAGATGCTGAAGTTTCCGCTGAGCGGGGGAACAAAGAAGCCTCTGGTCCTGGTGACGAACAGGTCGTTCTCTGTGGGGAAGCTGTAGGGCAGCGAGTCGATCCACTGCTGCTGGTAGCCGCTCGTGTTCTGGTTGTAGGTCCAGATGTCGGTCAGGGAGCTGGGTCGTTTGTTGCTCCACACCTCCATCTTCAAGCCTCTGCCACCTGGACGCCACGAAACAAACAAACAAACTTCCTGTCTGCTCACATCTCCAGGATCTCATTTAAATCCTTCTCTGTAAACTAAAAACATATTTTTCTGAGCCAATCAGGAGAGCTGATCTTCAATGAAGAGATTGAAGTGTTTATTTTTAGTTCGGCTGTTTGAGTTTAATCAGCCGAGACAAGAAACAACAAACTGCGAGGACAGCTGAACGAGTTCTTCCTGTCGTCAGATAACAGACGACGTGTCACCGTTCATTAAAGCTCAAAGTGCAGCAGAGATGGAGCTGATGAAAGACAGCGCTCATACTCAGAATTCCTCCAGGGCTCCTGTCCTCAGCATCAGTCAGGACAGATAAAAGCAGAGACGACGAGCTGTTCTCACCTGGGTGCACCTTCCTGTTGTTCACCTGTCGCTCAGGCGTCTCACACGTGATGCTGTCGTCAGACACACTCTGGACTTCACACGGCACACCTGAAAAATCACAAGCTGATGTGAATTTTAACACTTGAAGGAGTGAGAGCATGAAGACTGGCTTGTTGTATTTCAACACTGGAAAACTTGGTGGGAAAAGTTGGGGTTCAGGGTCCAAATATGGGTCATTAAACATCAAGTTTGGGGTCTTGAGAGGATTTCCAAAAACAATTACATTTTAAAATGACTATTTGCAGACTTTAACAGAGTCAGAATCATGTGTTTCTGCTGCTAAGTGTGTGTAGTGTTTAGTTTTACAGTTTAGTTTTAAAGAATGCTTGTAAATCAGGTCTATTGTTTGTGTAAAACAAACAGACTTATTTTCGGCTGCAGGTTGGGACTAACTGTGCTTCAGGAGTCTGGAATCCTGCAGAGATAAAGAGCTGCAGTCATGGTCTGCTGGCTSTCTGAGCTCTGACAGATCTGTTCCTCTCATGTGTGGCGACTAGACGCTGTTTTCTCGTGTCTGAAGCGAGCTGCGCTCTGTTGTGTTGAAAGGATTATCTGCGTGACTCCGTGCACTCGAACAATGTGTAGAGACGAYGTTCATCCATTCATGCTGAACTCTTGTACTCTGACGCTTCAGGAAACTGTAAGTTTCCACTCTTACCTCCGAGGAGAACATGTGCAGGCTCGTCAGTTTGGTCGAAGAAGCGCCCGTGGACGGTGATGAGAGTTCGTCCTGCGACGCTGCCCTCGGACGGCGACACTCCCGTCACCTCTGAGCAGGAAACACAGCAGAGGTTTCATCACGACGGGCAGAAAAAAAAACACCTTTATGAAATGTGYGGTGTGTGTTCTTACCTGCAAACGTCTGGAACATGGAGAGCTTGGCCACAGAAGAAACCCAGAACAGACTCTGATCTGGTAAACTCCTGAAACAGACGTTTGTGGGTTTACATTCTATCACTTCAGATCAATAATCATTAATCAGTGGTGCAGTCTGAGCTTTCACCTTCCAAAGTCATTATCTAGGATGTAGCTCAGGTTGTGATGACCTGTGGGATGAAACATGAAGGATTAAAGTCAGGTTAACTCAAACCTGAGTGGAGTTTCTGTCCCAGCTCACCAACATATGTTCCTGTCATCCTGCAACTCATGTATCCCCAGTTAGAGGACTCCGAGTCCAGCTGCAGGTTGTACCTGCAAACATGATTAATCAGCTGACGCGTACCTGAGGTCTGACCTGTGGCTCGTTAAGGTGTGGTGAAATTAAAAACATCTTACAGTTCATCAGAGTCAGGCTTCAGCAGCAGGCAGGGCATTCCTCCCATGTAGGATCTGAAACAAACCAGAGCTTTCTCTTCCTCCTCATGCAACCATACAAGTTAGCTTATGCTAAGCTAGCTTTTTATTTGACTATTTTCAGCAGGAGTATTCAGATAACCAGTAACCAGAAACAGTCSATTATTGTTTTATTTGTTAATATAATCTTAAACCTCTGTATTTTAGCTTCATTAATCCAAAACATCACATTTATATTTGACCATGTTCAGTGATCAGATTATCCCTCAGGTTTCATGTCTGATGTTAAGAGCAGTTCCTGACCTCAGAAAGCGCACGTTGAGGCCGTTGGAGCTCAGCTGCGTGTTGCTCCCGTACACGTCGGTGAAGATCCGTCCTCGGATGGAGACCAGTGATCCTGCAGCAGGTTTTAAAGTCCGTTTCATTTAAACGCTTCAAACCACGGGGTGAAACATCTGCACACAGTGACTGTCCTACCTGGGAGGCCAGAGAGCGGACTCAGGGAGGAGATGGTGGGCGTGCGGTACCAGACCACCTGAGGTTCAGACACATGAAGTCAGGACTCAAAGACCAACCTGACAGGAGCTTCTTCAATCTGATAAGAATAATAATAAACGTACATAAAAGCTGCAGTAGTATGGTTTATAATCACCATTACAGATCCTGCTGTCAGGAACAGGAACACCGTCCACAGTGACGTGGACCACGTACTGATCCTCGGGCATCTTCCTGTGGAGGAGGAGCAGAACAGACGTCAGAGGGTCCCATCATCACCTGCAGGACTCAGAGCTGCTCTGGACAGGTGTGTCTGCACCTGGTGTAACACAGGATCTGGTTCGCGTGAGTCGAGTCTCGCTCCACGTCGCAGGGGACGGACAGCGTGTCCGACACCAGCGTGACCCGGTTTCCAAACGTCTCGTCTGTCGGGTTCAGCTGGAACTGATTCTGCTGGGAGAAACCTGCAGAAAACAAAGGCCCGGGAACCTCAGACGTCACATGTACAAGTTCAGAACCACAAGAACAGACGGGAAAATTATCTTTAATGGAGACAATGACTCATAATATAATATAATATAATATAATATATCTTTAAACATTTACAACTAGTCTGCTCCTCATTGATTTTAACATTCAGCAGCTAAATCACCTGGTAAACACTTAAACAAATCAGAAGAGAAACATTAGCTTAGCATGCTAAGCTAATGTTAGCCTACTAGCTAATAAAGTTAGCACAGACGCTTTTAAGAATCTAATTTAAAAACTGAACACTTAACTATGTTACATGTTTTTATTTATGAACCTTTTTACTTACATTTTATGAAGCAACATGCAGGTAAAACTACAGTTTTTATGGTAAAAGTTTCATGTTACAGCAGATAATGATGGTTTGTCCACTTTAACCGACAGGCGGGGGGGGGGGGGGGGCTGAATTATCATAAAATATTCGGTCATGCCAAATACAATAAATTTATTTTAAATATATTTTTTTCTTAAGATATAATGTAACAGATCTTAACCAGTTAAAATGACTGTTTTACCTCTTTAGATAAAATTAAGAGTCTTATTTACAAAAGTCAAACACCTCTTTGTTCAACAGGAAATGGAAGCTCCTGAAATATTTATCATTTAAATTTACAGGAACTTTCATTAGATAAATATTCAATCAAGACTTCATTTAAATCAAAAATGTGCTGAGCTCATCATGTGTCATAATTATCATTACAAACATTAAATTAAATTAAATACAATAAGAAAATGTTTTTACCCTCTCCACTGATGGTGAGTCTGGTTGCTCCTTCACTGCTTCCTCTTTGTGGAGATATCCATTTAACACGCTGCGCATCTGAGAACATTATTTTAAAATATATATAAATAACTTTAAACAGTAAATCTTCACAGGATCTGATAGAACTGGGATATTTTTTATTAATTATTGCATATTTAATGATCAAATCACAGTTCAGCTGAAATAAGACAGGCTGGAGCATTTKACCTTTTTTACAGAATATTTTAATAAACATTTAGTGGAAACGTTTCATTTTTGACACGATTAACTGGTTTTAGCTGAAACAGAGATTAACCTGTTTTTCATGGGAGAAAACTTTACGTTTTCTTTATTTAATAATGCAATCCTTAAAGAGACAATATATAATTTACTTAATTTAATGAAAGCAGTCTTAATGTTTATTTAAATCTGGGCCCGTCAGCTGAGTTTTCTGTATTTAAACCATGAAGTTTGTGTTTCTTACAGCAGCAGCAGCAGCAGAGAGCGATGAGGAGAGCCGCCGGCCTCATCCTGAAGGGTTCACAGATTTACCTGCAGCTTCACCTGAACCAGCTGCACCTGAACCTGCTGCACCTGAACCAGCTGCACCTGAACCTGCAGCACCTGCAGACAAGAAGAAAATCACTTCAAATCATAAAGACCCTCTGCTTCCTGCAATCTGCTTTAAACTGACCACCTGAGCAAAAATCTGCTTAAAACACAGGTAAATAACTGAAAACCCTTCTTATTTTTAGTTAAAACAAATGTTTTTATACTTTTTTTTATTAGTTTTATATCTATTCATTACAAAAATATAACAAAAATGAAAAAATAGAATATTTCTTGTTTCTGTAGTTGATTGTTTCCATCAGTATATTTAATTGATTAAAGTTGATTTTGTTGAATTTGTTTCTTCGATAAACATATTTTAAATAAATAAATACAAAATTGTAATCACTTTGAGCACTGAGACCTAAAATCTTTAAACTAAATTGGATCAGAATAAAGTCTGTTAAAGTCTAAAATAAAAGATTTAAAACWAACAGAACTCACCTGATGTCAGACAGAACTAAAGGTTTAAAGTTTCAGACAGAAACAGACCTGCTGCAGCCACAGAGCTTTTCCAGCTCCTTATAAGGGCTCGTGGCTCCGCCCCTCACCTGGATGTGGGAGGAGTCTGAGCTCCAGGACAGGTGGACCTGCAGGTGTTCAGGTGAGCAAGCTGCATCTGATGGGGTTTAAAATCCAAATTGTTCCACAAAATTTTACATTTCTTTCCGTTTTACAAATATTTTTCTTTGTAAAAAGTTTTTTTTAATTACTACAGAAATTATATTTATTATTAATTATGGTGCAAAGTTGTGATAAATGTACAGAACAGGTGGTCATTAGTTACCTGCTTGAGTGAAAGCAAAAAAATCTACGTCAGTGGCTCTCATTGAATTAATAGACCATAAAACAATCAGCTGTTGRTGAAAAACAGTACTGTGTCAGTATTTCTGTTGATTTTAAAAGTGTTTGATATTATTAACCACAGTTTTCTTTTTGAAAAGCTCAATAAATTTGATATTAGAGGACCTGCATTACAGTGGGTATCTAGTTATTTGGAAGATAGAAAACAATTTGTAGAAATAAATAATGAAAGATCTGAGTTTTGTAACATCTCATGTGGAGTGCCGCAGGGTTCCATTCTCGGACCGAAGTTATTTGTTCTGTATGTGAACGATTTGGTCAATGTGTCGGGACTTTTTTGGTGTGTTCTATTTGCTGATGATGCAACATTCTTTTGTTCTGGTAAAGATATAGAAGGACATGATACAGACAGAGTTTATGAAAATACAAAGTTGGTTTCAACTAAATAAATTATCATTAAACATGGAAAAAACAAATTATATGATTTTCTGTAACAATAAGAGAACTGTAGATGTTTTATTTAAAATTAATGATG